GTTTCACAGGGAAGCATGAAACTTTCCTGCCCCACAGGCAGCACCCAGGTCTTGAGGCATCCAGGGAAAAATGCAATTGCAAGACGGGCAGCCTGAGTCGTAGGGCTTGCTGCCAGTGGGGCAGTGCTCTGAACCAGCAGTGAAAACAAACTCTGGCTCACCAAGCAGGGACAGGTAATTTGTGCACGGAGGAATGTGCCGTGACCTGGAAAAAATGCAGGTGATTAAACAGATGTGAACACGTGCCTTCCACAACTAGCAGGAGTTCAGCTGCTCCCTGGCACATCTGAGATCAGTGCTGGGATTGTCCCATCCCACATGGAGGGGTCTTCCTCTCCCTCTTCTCTGTCACCGTCCCCGTGGCACTGAAGTGCACCCCGCTGGCAGGGGCACTTGGAGAGAGGCACCCTGGGCTGCTGGGGTGGTTTAACCGGGGACAGCATTTGGCCCTCTGCGCCTGGCCCAGGACCTGGTGTGCCCTGGGCGCTGCTGGAACTGTCCCCAGGGGAAAGCTGTCCCTCCGGGGATGCGGTGGCTAGCTGGTACATGTTTCAGCCACCCTTCGGCAGGGGGCTGCATCAGGAGGGATGACTTAGTGGAAGAAAAAAAAAAAAAGTTATTTCAAACTCGCCTGATTTTATTTCTCACCTTGTCGTTCTCCCCTCAGTTCCAATGGCAAAGTCAATGAAGTCGAAGGAGAAATCATGCACATGGATGTAAAGGAGCCAGCCAAGCTGGGTGTCCGCTTTAACTGGTGTAAGTGTGTGGCTGGGAGGTTCGCAGCCTCCGCCGGCTCCCTGGTACTCGCTGCCATGTCATCAGGGGTACAAAATTAGCAAAGCAAGAAGCAAACCTCCCCTGGTGACTTCAGTGCAGCACAATGGGGCAATGGCAAAGGGTTAGGACAGGCCTTGTGACCAGCAGGCAGAGGTTTGGGGATATTTATTCATCATTTGCAGCAACAGGCCCTGCAGTGGTGGAGCACTCCTCACCAGCTGATCTCAAACAAGAAAGATGAGCAGCATTACTGTCCCTCCAGGTTCTTTCACAGATGGGGACAGGGAGGGTGGGAGCTGGGGGTGGCAGCCCCACAGCTGCTGCAAGGGCTAGGAATAGGCTTGTTCTTCTGAATACAGTGGTATAGCTACTAGCCCACCCTGGCTCTGCTTCCAAGCACCTGTTAATAACCATTAATAATACGGTTTTGTTTGCTTTTTCTTCCCTTGTCAATGTAACACTCGACAGGTGCCTGCTGAGGTGCAGAGCATTTTATTCACGTTGCACAGCGCTTTCCTCTGTCTGCAGCAACACTTTGGAAAGTGAGCAGGAGTCTCCCCTTGGCTCCCTCTTTATTCTGCTCCCTCACACCTTTTCCTTGGCTGTTTCATAGCATGCACACAGAGGGGTTATTTGGAGAAATGGGTGGAGTGGGGGTACTTGCAAAGGAGATGCAATTACTGTTCATGAGCACAGTACTTAATTATGTGCTGCTAAAGCATCACCTGCAGCCATTTCACCCGCAGCACGTGCACCCCCAGCCGTCCTCACCGGACGCAAGCCCCAGAGAGCAGTGCCTGATCAGAAATAAATCTCAGGGCACTTATGCCTGCCTGACGGTTTGAAGCTGGTGTGGCTGTCCCTCATCAGAGCAGATCCTTTGGGTGTAGCAGCCTGATGGAGGGCAGGATTTGGCCCAGGTGGCTGGTGCTGGTGGGGTGTGCTGAGCCATGCCGATTCCCACTGCCCACCTCCAGCTGGCTCCATGGGACAGGGCACCCGGGGCAGTGGGTGTTGGGGAGGGAGGCGGTGGTTCATGCTCCTCCAATCACCAGCATCTGCTCCCAGCCCTACAGTTCCTTCCCACCAGCAAGCACCTTCACGTGGGTATGAGCTGGGCCAGCTTTCAGAGCTGCTCAGGTTATAGTGTTAACTTTACAGTAAGTCCTTCCTAGTCAGGGCTTTGTGGGTTTATCAAGTCCGTCTGGGCAGAACAAGGAGTCCTGACTGGCTTTTATAAATTATGGCTCCTTGTACTGACCACAATTATGAGGCTCAGGAGCAGAAAAATTGGGAACAGCACCAGGAGGCATGGCTGTGCTGCTGCAGAGCAGCCCAGAGTCAGTTAGTTACCCATGGTGTTCATGGTGCCCTTCTTCCTCCTAGTCATGCCTTCTGCCCCTTACTGGGTCATCTCCACCGACTACGAAAACTACTCACTGGTGTACTCCTGTACCAACATCCTCTGGCTCTTCCACATTGACTATGCCTGGATTATATCAAGAGCTCCCGAGATGCATCCAGAAACCGTGGAGCACCTGAAGAGCGTTCTCCAGTCCTACAAGATTGACACCGAGAAAATGATGCCCACGGATCAACTTGACTGCCCCCCCGAGATGTAACTCCCAGCACGCAGCGACACAGCGCCAGACCAGCGATGAACTTTGTTGCTTTCCTTATTATTCATTAGAATTTCTCTATGTAACAGAGAAATGTAATAACCCTTTTGCTAACAGTAGTTTGCCAGCCCTGAGTTACTCCTTGCTGTCATTCCCTCTATCGCTCTCCCTGCTTTTTCATCTCGCTCTGACTTTTGCAGAGTAACTGACTGATTCAAAGCTAATGGGCGAAGAAAAGAAACCCTGAAGTGCAGATGTGAAGCCTCTGCTGTTGCTTTGAGTCCTCCAGTATGTGGATGGTAAAGGGTATGAGATGCGATGTGCAAGTATTAGTTCTGGGGGAAAACCTTTTGTCACGTACCTGCAGGTTTGTTTCCCATTTTTGCTGTGATGCTTCTGGGCCTGCTAGGAGTCTATGGTGTGTGAGCTACACCATGGGCCCTGCCTTCCTGGTGGCAACGCCCAGGCACGGGCGGTCAGTCCTGCAGCCTAGGAACTGACACCGGGGGTCTTTGTGTTTTCTGGTGCAGGCCTGTAGGTGTATGTTACTGCCAAGTCAGCAGACCTCCTGGCTAGAAATCGGATCTGGCCCTTTTTATTTAAAGTCTGAGAAGTCTAAAAGTGTCCAGAGATTCAGCATCACTCCATCCCTGATGCCTGTACGTGACTTGCCTCAAGTGAGGCTGGTCCTGCTCTCCCAAGGGCTCAGCTCTGAGAGTACCCGTAAGCAGACAGAGAGATGGGTCTCCTCCCTTGTTCTCCCCTGCCAAGGCTTCTTCCAAACACCGAGACACAGCAGGCTCTGCCCGACATCCTGCTCACCACTTCTGTACGTGCCGAGCGCCCGCTGGCACGGTGTCTGCCCTGGCAGGTGTTCACCAGGCACCGCGACAACTCTGCTTGAATAGCATTGATGCAGCTCATTAAAAATTAAATCAAAATATCTGCTTTGGGGCGTTTGTACCTTCCCAGCTGGGTGACGTTTTTGAGCAGGCTGGGTGGGGGCTTGGTGTGCAAGGTCTGCCCCCCCTCTGAGGCCATGGCAGTGCAAGAGCGGGAAATGCAAATGCAACATGAGCAACCGTGTCTGAAGTTAAATGGTTTGCTCCGGCAGCCTGGAGGTTTTTCCAGCTCTCTGGGATCAGATGTGCAGGCTTCCCACGTTGCCTGAGCCATGCCAGCGAACCCACGTTGTGGCTTTGGCTGGCGGTGCTCCCATCTCCTGCGGCTTTTATTGACATGGAGAAACAACGATGGGGGCATGGAATACTGTAAAGCTGCAGGAAATGTTCTACGCTCACTGTGGCGGGACCCCGATCGGTGCGGGTGTGCAGCAAAGAGCTTCCCAGCCCTGGGAGGGCTACGGGAGCTGGGCAGGGAGCCAGCATTGCACAAATTGTGTAGCTTGGAGAAGAGGAGGCTGAGAAGAGACCTTATCGCCCTCTCCAACTGCCTGGAAGGAGGCTGTAGTGAGGTGGGGGTTGGCCTCTTCTCCCGGGTAATGGGTGATGAGGGGAAACAGCCTCACGTTGCGCCAAGGCAGGTTTAGGTTGGACATAAGGAAAAAAGTTTCACCGAAAGGGCTGTCAAGCACTGGAAGGGGCTGCCCAGGGAAGTGGTCGAGTCCCCATCCCTGGAGGTACTTAAAAGACGGGCAGATGAGTGCTCAGGGACATGGTTTGGTGGTGGGATGGCAGGGTTAACGGCTGGACTCGATGATCTTAAAGGTCTTTTCCAACCTCGGTGACTCTGTGAAATCTCTACCCGTCGAAGGAGGCCGAGATGGGAGGAGGCCTTGCCGGGACCAGAAGCGACTGCCGTGTTTAAGCCACCAGCCCTTTAAACTTTTACATCCTAATGCCCCAGCTCCCGTGACGCAGAGCCAAACCCCTCCCCGCATGCCCCGGCTGTAGGGATGGCGGGGGACGGGCCACGCAGCCGCGGGC